GGGCGAGGGGCCGGGGGACGGCGGGGGCGGGGAGGCGCAGTCCGACGACGGGGAGGTGTACGAAGATGAGGGGGAGTCCGAACAGTCCGAGGCTTCATCTGAAGAGTCCGAGCCGGATTACGAGGTCGAGGACGACGAGTCATCCGACGCCGAGGATGACGGCGGCAGTGGGGAGGGCAGGGTGGAAGCCAATGGAACGACGGGCGGCAGGGCGCCAGCGGCGGCGGCTGTGGGGGTGCCGAGGCTGTCGGTGGCAGCGGAGGCGCTCCCCGACTGGGAGGACCGGTGGGCGCTCGCCTACAAGCTGCGGCTGCTGCCGAAGGCCGGCGCGTTCCCCGTCTTTGAGGGCGCGGGCGTGCCCAAGGAGATGGCCGCCGTCGCTGCGCTGCTGCACGCGGGCGTGCCGGCGTGCAAGCAACTGCTGGCCGTTGTGGAGAAAACAGGGAAGCAGCGGCGGAGAAATGGGGACGCGGGCGGCGCCGGCGGCGGCGGGGGCGCAGCTGCAGGCGCGGACAACAGTTTGGAAGATCTCCAGGTGTGCATTTGGGAAGGATTGGATTGCTCTTGAAACAACCACACGTTGCTCATGACTTGCCAGCTGTTGCAGGCTCCTGGTGGGCAGCCGGCTCGCCCGTTCATGGGCGCACATCATGACCCTGACATACGCTGCGCGTTTGAGGCTCCGCCCCCACGCGCCTGCTCATGTCTGGCACCATCTCCCACAAAGCGCCACCCGCCCGCCCACCATCCCACCGCAGCTCCCCCCCGCCGCGCTGCTCGTGGACACCCTGCGGCTGGCGGCGCGGCTCATGCTGTCGCGCTACACCTGCGGCCTGGAGGAGGACGAGGCGCTGCTGGCGGCCGCCGAGAAGCTGCCGCCGCGGCTGCACGCGGCGGTGCGGGCGCGGGCGGGGGAGAAGCGGTGCCTGCACGCCCTCCTAGAGGTGCGCGTGAGCTTGCTCTTTTTGGGAGGGGGTGGGGGGGTGCGACCTGGAATGGGCGGTGGGGCCGAAGCCGATTGCAGGTGATGTTTGAAACTTGATGGGATTTGCAGGTTGCAGCACAAGAAAGGGGGCGACGTATCTGCACAGGGCTCGCTGCGCCGCCTGAGAGGCCTTGAAACGAGCTGCACCTCATGTGCCCTGCCACCTGCCCTCCCAGTCTCTTGGTGGCAGCGGCTCAGAGGGGCCTTTGCTGGACGCTGTTGCGAGGGAGGCTATTGTAGCTGCAGTTGCTGACCTGGCGGAGCGGCGGCAAGCGGCTGCGGCCGAAGCGGCAGCGCGCAGCAGTGATGAGGACGGCGGCCAGGAGGAGGAGTTGAGCGAGGAGGGCGGCAGCGATGGGAGCAAGGGTAGAGGCGCAGTCGCGGCGGCAGGGGCAGCTGCCGGAAAGAAAAGGCAGCGGGACGCGTGTGGCGGCTGCACGCGCGGGGCCTGCGGCCAAAGCCACGAGGCGGGCGCTGAAGATGAGGAGGCCCCAGAGGAGAGGGAGCGGCGGCGGGGCAAGCGACGAGGTCAGGCGGCTGCTGGCGGCCAGGCGGGCGGCGGCGAGGACGCACACAAGGGTGACCAGCGAGAGGCTCCGCCTGACCCTGCAGCAGCACCGGGATTTAGCTTTGGATTTCAGCTGTAATATGTCATGAGCGTGTTGAACGGCGCAGGCACCACACACAGCAAATTACCAATGGCATGGATTGTGTGCCCTGGCATGTCTCATACATCCAGAAACATACAGGCTCATGGCAGTGCTTGCATTGCGCAGGGGACTGGTAATGTGAAAGTCGAGCCGCTCAGCAGCTCGTTGGCGGCTCGTCGATTTCCCGTCAGCTCCGACGTCCCTGCCGTACTTTTGATTGTTCGAAAGCCGTAAATCTCGTTGTAACATTTAAAATTCTTGTGATTAAGATTTCTGCAGCATCAGCCCCGCGGGGGCCCGGAACTATGAACCAATTCGTGTCGGTGGGCTTTTTAGGACTTCTTTTCGCCCTGGATTTTACAGCAGGTGGGAAGACACGGATTGGATTGGTCTAGGGCCGGCCCGCATGCTTACCCTGCAGTGCTGACAATTCCCGCTCACGTCGCGCAGCTGCTGGTGTCCCAGCTGTGGCTGCATCCCAGCCAGTGGCGAAAGCGGCTGCTGCGATGGCGGCATCAAAGCAGGCACTGAATGCTGCTGCATCACCAGCAAAGTTCAGCCCTGCGCCAATGCTGAGGACCAGTCCTGCACCATCGCCGAAACTCAGTCCTGTCGTGGGTGCAGTACCCAGCACGCTGCCAGCCACCCAGCCCGGCCCCTCAACGTGGACTGCGAGCAGCGGTTGGTTGACGTTTGGGGCGACCTCTGCTGCAGCCATCAAAGCGCCTGTTTCGGCGCCATTGCCCAAGGCAAGCCCAATAGTGGCAAGGGCGAGCCCATCACCTGTGCTGCGAAGCCCCCGCATGACGCAGGCCAGCCCCAGCCCTTGGCCCTCACCTTCGCCCAGGCCAAGCTCAACAGCAACAAAAGCGAGTCCCTCATTGTCGCCCAGCCCGGCAATGGCCAAGGCGAGCCCCTCGATCAGCAAGCCCAGCACAGCGCTACCGAAGGCGAGCCCCTCACCAAGCGCCCGGCCTGCTGTGTCAATCGCCAGCCCTGCACCAAAGCCCAGCCCTGCAGCTGCCAAACCCAGCCTTGCCGTGGCAGCGGCAGCCCCAAGCCTCGTGGCAGCGGCGGACGCCACCCCTTCAATCCGGGCCAGCCCCGCCATTACCCGACCAGCCGTGACGCCGGCAGCACCAGCGCCGGCGGCCCTGGCGCCTAGCGCCGCTCCCGCCAACCCACCCAAGCCCGTCGTCAAGCCCGTGCTCGCAAGCGCGGCCGGCGCGGTCGCGCTCATGCCCGGCCTCAGGTCGGTTGCCGCCAATGCGACCTCGGCCGCCTCTGCCGCGGCGGCCCAGATGGCGCAGCTGCTGGGGCTGCTGCAGACGCCCGAGCAGGTAGTGGCCAATAGCGAGCTCCTGACGGTGCCGGCCGCGCTGCAGGCGGCGCTCGCAAAGCTCGCGGCAGCGGCGCAGGCGCTCGGCGGGGCGCGGATCGCGCTGCCGGCGGCGGTGCAGGCCGAGCTGATGCAATACCTGCGGCTGGCTGGCGGCGCCGGCAAGGATGTGCTGGTGCCGGCGGGGTCAACTGGCGTGGTGTTCTCCCCAGATCTGCTGGCCAGCATCAAGGCCTCACAGTAGTCATGTCTTCACACGAGTGCGATGCGGCGCTACGTCGTAGTCCTGCTAAGTAGTCCAGCAAGATCAATTGTTTGCCAATGATCGCTTGCATGTGACGATCACCCTCTGTGACGGGCGCAGCAGCCTGCGCGCTCTCCGAGCGCAGCTCAAAACTTGGCGCTTTTGGAACCCTAGTTCCTCACCGTTCGCGTCGCAACCAGTCATGTAACAAGAGTCTCACATATATGGAACCCTGCCACTATAGCAAGGGAGATCCCACGACAGCACCTGCACGCAAGCTGCAACGCTAGACCTTCAGTGGGCCACGATGTCAACACCTGCATGTGGGCAAGTGGCTCCCAGTGAGAGTGCACTCCGCAAGCACCCGGTTACCCGTGCGCTGGAACAATTTTTTGCACCCAATCAAGCCAAATTATTGCTCCACAAGCGCGAGGTGAGGAGCAGCCAGCCATCCCGCGGCTGGTGTGCAGTGACTGCACGAAAACGATCGATATGACGGGTTACCCAGCTTCAAGGAAGCCATTACAATGCTTACGCATCGATATAAAGCTCATTTAGCATCTCCACATACTTCATAAGTCGGTACGCCAGTCGTGGTTTCGCTGTAGACCGCGTCATTACTTTTCCCGCGGACCCCTTTGTCAAGGCTTCAGTGAACAGAACCGCATAAAATGAATAGTATGCAGAACCTTGTGGTGCTTGCCGTGCTTGCGGCCGCCGTGGTGCTCCCAGGTGGGTGGTGTTGCTGACTTGCTGTTGAGTGGGCGGTAAAGCTGCGTGAAAGGGCCCAATCTCGGGTGCGACCGTTGGGTTGTCATGTAGCATGCAATGTAACGCAATCATCTTACTACACCAGGCCTCCCCGACGATAAACTCACAGCACCTCGAGCCGAGATGTCCCGGTCTCAACTCACCGAACACCTATCCTGGCGCGTTGCTCGCCCCTTTCAGGTGCCCTTGGGCAGGATGGGCGCACATTAAAGACCTTGAACCCAGGCACTAGGTTGGTGAACGCCCAGTTTCACCTGGACAAGCAGCTCTACAAGGCACAGGTCACCCAGGTGCGTTGGCCGCACCAGCTGGCCCGTGCTTGCAAGCCAGAGTGCCAGAGGGTCCCAGTACCATGCGTGCAAAGCAGCGCCAGTCGAGCAATCGCATTTCCTGCTTGTTTCTCGTCACTACCGGCCCATGCAAGCGGCGGCAAGTCACATGCCCCGCACATCGCCGAAAGCCCTCCTGTCCCTGCTCCCACCGCACGCGGCCCCCCCTCCTCCCCGCCGTCCGGCCCACCCAGGTCGTCGCGCGCGAGAAGGCCATTGGCAAGGTCGGCAAGACCCTCGATAAGGCCGCCGACCGCGAGGCCCACCTGGACCACAAGGTCGACAAGGCCGCCGACCACGCCGCCGCGCTCGCGGCCAGGGCCTCCCAGAGCGGCAGCATCGGCTCCATGAAGCGCGCGGCCCTGGCCGAGATCGACGTGGAGAAGGCCATCCGCTTTGCTGACCGCGAGAAGGCTGAGCTGCAGGCCAAGGTCGACCGCAAGATACAGGTGGGGATTGTGAGGAGGGGGGGGGGCAAATCACACGGCTGGGCTGGGGGTAGAACAGGTTGCGCAACAGGTCATCGTCAGCCAAGAATAGATCACATGGAGCGCAGCGCATTGATACAAGCATAAAAGTCAGGAGCCGTCCGTTCCCTGGCTCAGCCGCCCAGTACAACCCGCCTGCGCTGTATTGGGCATCGAATGCTGCACGAACAAGCTTGCTGCGGTCGCTGCAACTCACGCCCCGCCCACATTGCCCTGGTTCGTCAAACAGAACACCATTGACTGGCAGGCCAAGAAGGAGGACAAGGCCGCGCAGCGCGTGGACAAGGCCCAGGTGCGCCTGGACAAGGCCCAGGTCCGCTTCGACGCCTTCCTCGGCCGCAAGAGCGGCGGCTTCGGCGGCCTGCAGCTGCCCCAGCTGGGCGGCTTCGGTGGTGGCGATGATGGCGCGCAGGCGGGCGCAATTGGCGGCATGCAGCCCGGCGGTGTGCCCAACCTGCCGTTTCTCCCTTGAACATGCCTTGAAAGATCTCCGGCGCCTGTTTGCGCTCCATGCCATTTGATGTACCGATCTTGACCCCCGGGACGTTGCAGAACCTGCGGGTGCAGTGCGACCATTTGCGGCTTTCATGTACAGCCACACTGAACTTACAACAGCTGCAGAAATGCAGCCATGGGAGCCCAGATTTGGCGTCCTACTCACCTTTTCTGTCAAAGTCCTTGAAAGCAGCCACACATCTGTGTGTGTGGCTGCTTGCAAAGAATACATGTACGGGTCGCCGCAAAGCGACACCTTGATACATAAGGACAAACAATATGATCCCCGAAGGGACTCGCAAACCCACGCTCGAGCAACCGCCGCTGCAACGCGCGCGACTCGTTTACAATCGAATGTGTGGGCCGCGGCGACGCGGCCCGGTCGGCCCTATGGCTGCAGTCCTGTGACACACGCCCTCGGCGGCCACGTCTCGTCCATGAGCTCGTTTGAACCTCTCTCCAGGCTGTGTAACGCTGACCTGCAAGCTGATCATGTAGATGATGCACAGGCCAGCGCACTGCTTTTACCTTGCCGTCAGCAGCAACACATAAATCATGATCAGATGCGACTGCACCCAAAAAGGAGCGGTGCATGCACTGTAGCAATCAAAGTGGTGTGGTACCAGCGTCGTGCAGTCTACACCCACCCGACAATTTTTCAACTTCTATCGGAGTTCTGGTAATCTTGATTAGAGGTGCCCAGCAACCCTTTGGTGCATCGTGCTTGACCCTTGTGCACTCTCCATGGGTGCAGCCACGACAGATGTCGGCACCTGGTGTGTGAGGACTCGCACGAGCACGACGCTGCTGGGGCCATTCCATCTCACAACTGGCAGTGCATTCGCTGACTCGTACATCATAAAACTTAGCCTGTTTTTGACAGGCGCGCGAGTGCCAGGCCGGCATCATTCAAACACATTGATCCTCCCGCTTGATCTGAGGCGTCCCTGGGTAGTGTCCACCTTAGTGAAGAAATTATATGCACGTCTTGATCGCATTCGAGGTACAATCGGCGCTTGTCTAAGATCAAAGGCTGAGGATGGCTGCCAAAACGGACGCCCCCGAGCTCACGCTTGATGCCAACTCGCAAACCGGGTTTTTCAAGTGGTTCAAGAGCCTCGATCAGGTGCGCGCCCGCTGGCGGCACGGGCGCGCTGTGCCCGACATGGCCAAGCGGCGGAGCATGCTGCGCTCAGATTCAGTGATTTGGCGGCGACCTATCACAACCGAGCTGTTGGGTCAACCTCTCTGTCAATGCGAACGAACTGCAGGACCCCAAACTCCTGCGGTTCTTTGACAGGAAGGTATGTGAGCGGCCTTGGCCCGGCACAAACAATGCGGCCGCAGGGTGGCGGGTGGCGCCTCGCTGCATGGCAATGCCGAAGGCCTCAAGCTGCACGGGCCCATGCGAGAAATTGTGTGCACCGCCCACACCAGCTGAAGCGCCGACCAGCGCCAAGTTTGTGGCCATCGTCGCCCCGCCATGTGTACCCTGCAAGCCGCATCTCACCCGGCCGCACCCTTCTGCTGACCCGACTACCATCGGGCCCCAGGGCTTCTATTCCTGCCATGGAGAAAACGCGCTGTTTGTGGCGCGCACCTTTTACCGCACCACAGCCGTCGTCAAGTACCTGGGGGCGGCCGGCGGCGGCGCGGGCGGCGGCGCCGGGACGCCGCCCCCAGGGGCCGCGGGTGCGCACCCCCTCTTGATTTTGCACGCATCGCTGCTCTGCTGCCAGCCCGTCCCCCGGGTGCAAGGCAGATGGGGCGCAACGTTGGCGTTGTTTCTGTACCTGGAGGTGTGACGCATGCACAGCAGCGCATGCACAGCAGCACATGCGCCGTCCGGCCCCGTCACCCCCTCCAACACTCCCGCAGGCCTGCCGTCGGTGACGCTCAACCGCCAGCTGTTTGAGGGCGCTCTGAGGGACCTGCTGCTGGAGGGCGGCCAGCACAGCGTTGAGCTGTGGGACGGATACGGCGCGCACTGGAAGGTCGCAAAGTGGGCGGGGGCGACGAGGGGGGGCCGGCGGCGGGGCGGGCTTTGCCGGGCTAGTGCATCCCCCCACGAGCCTCTGCAACACACTCTCGGGGCCGACGAGTGGGGCGTCTGCCGCATGCTTCAAGCGCCGCATTTGCGGCGGCTTGAGCAACGGCTTTGCCCGCATTTATGCCTTGTGAACGCCCGCTCGACACTTCCAGGAGCGCGTCCCCCGGACGGCTGTCGGCCTTTGAGGATGAGCTGTTCAGGGGCGGAGAGGCGGCCGACGCGCCGCTGGTGGCAGCGGTAGCGCTGGGGTACTCGGAGGGGCAGAGGACGGTGGGCGCAGCATTCCTCGACCCGGGAAACAGGTGCGGCACGCCGCGCGGCGCCTGGTGGCGGGAGGGCTGAAAAGAGTCCCGCAGCGGGCCTGCTAGTGGTTGGCCTCAAGTCCTTGCCAACACCACGTCTCACGCAGGACGTCCTCATCTCTCTGTAGACCCACTAATATACGCACCACCCCGCGCCCCTCAAACCCGCGACGCCGGCGCCTGTGCTCGGAAGGCGCCTCGGCGCCTGCCAGTTTGTCGACGACGAGCACTTCTGCTCCCTGGAGGCCCTGCTCGTGCAGCTGGGGGCGCGCGAGGTCGTCATACAAAAGCCGGCCGACGGCGAAAAGTCCGACAAGGGCGGCGGCGGCGGCGGCGCGCCGGGTGCGGCGGGTGCAGGCGCAGACGCGCGGCGGCTGGCGGATGTGCTGGACCGTGTGGGGGCGATGGGCAGCGAGCGGCCGCGGGCGCTGTTTGCGGCGAAGCACCTGGAGCAGGACTTGGGGAAGCTGCTCAAGGTGGGTGTGGGCGGACCTTTGTGTTTGTGAATGTGTTTGTGAATGTTTTTGTAAACGTGCGAGTGGGAGCACGCTTGCGAGCATTTGTGTGTGAATGTGTGTTTGTGTGTGTGCACGCGAGCGCGCATGCATGAGAAGCTGCTAGGGTCTGTATGTTTGCTCGTGGCATGCGGATGTGGCGCGGCGTGTGCGCCAGCCAGCACCGTGTCTCCCGAGGCCACCTGCCGACCATACCCCGCAGTCGACCCTCACCCACGACCCCACCAACCTGCCCACCTTGGTGGTTCTTCGTCATTCTTTGCCGCCAGAGCGAGACCATAGAGCAGCACCGCGATGTCCTGGAGCGCCCCCAGGCCTGCGCCGCGCTGTCCGCGCTGCTGGCCTTCACGGAGCTCACGGCCGACGCGGCCGCGCTGGGCAAGCACACGCTGGCCCTGCACGACCCCGGCAGGTGCGGGCCAGGGGGGGCGGCGCTCGCTCCAGGGCCGGCCCGTTGGCGGGCTGGCCGGGCTTGCGTGGGGGAACGTTCCTGAAGCTGTTGTCGGGTTGGCGCGCCCCTTGCGGCCCCTGAGGGCGCGGCGCACCCCCGCCCCGCGGCGCAGGTTCATGCGCCTGGACGCGGCGGCGCAGCGCGCGCTGCACGTTTTCCCGGCGCGCGGAGACGCAAACGGCACATTCAGCCTGTACGGCCTCATGTGCCGGGCGCGCACCGCCATGGGCAAGCGGCGGCTAAAGGTGGGCGCACAGGAGGGTGGCCTTGTCCAGGGCCTCGTCCCTTGGGGGACACGTGCGGGGTGGCGCGCGTGGCCCCCAGCAAGCTTGCTTCGGCAAGCCAGTCACCCGGAAACAAGGTGACGCGCCGCCGTCTCGCTCCCGGCCAAGAGAGTTTTTCTTGGCTCCCGCTCCCCTGGGCCCGGCGGTCGATCAACTTGCGCCGCACCCAGCGCACTGCAACCGGCGGCCGCTAGCTGCGGCACGCTGCGCCCCCGCACTCACACCTCCGGCGTGCGCCGCCCCCGCCCCCTGCGCCGGCCCCGCCGCCGCGAGCAGGTGTGGCTCAAGCAGCCGCTGGTGAACGCCGCCGACATCGCGGCGCGCCTGGACGTCGTCGAGGCACTCGCGGGCGACGCCACACTGCGCGACGGCGTGCGCGACGCGCTGCGCGGTGAGGCGCGCCGCGGCGGGGCCAGGCCCCCGTCGCTCACCCCAGCGGACCTCGCTCGCCGCGTGCCCCCTCACGCGTAGCCTCACCATGCCACAGCGGCAAGCCGAGCGCGCGCCCCGCGGGGCTCGCCTCGACCCGAACGGCCTCCCGACCGCGTCCCCCTCACCCCGGAGCATTCCTTTGTTGAACCCCAGGCATGCCGGACATCGAGCGGCTGACCCGCAAGCTGGAGGCGGGGCGCATCAGCCTGTCGGAGCTGTGCCAGCTGTACCGCGCGTCGAGCGCGCTGCCGCGGCTGGAGGACGCGCTGCGGTGCCACGAGGGGCCCGCGGCCGCGCTGCTGGCGGAGCGGTGCGCGGCGGGCGCCCCGTGTCTCCTAGTGCTGTGACCCCCCTTGCCTTGGGCGCCTGCCCGCCGCTCAGTCTTTGCGGGCGAGCCGCGCTGTCTGCCGACGCCCAGGGCTGGCAGGCGCAGGCGGCGCCGCGCACTGCCACCACATCCCTGCCCTGCAAATCCGGCCTCGGTATCATTTCCCACAGCCCTGCACACCCATGGTTTGCCATATCCATCATCCGCCTCAAAACAACACCCTCGCACCCGCCGTGCCGCAGGTTTGCGTCCCCCCTGGCCGCCGCCCATGACGACGAGCACCTGTCAAAGTTTGAGATGCTGCTGGAGGCGTCCATAGATCTGGACAGGGTGCCCGAGGAGTACGTCATCTCCGCCAGCTACGACCCCAAGCTGCAGGTGCGAAGACGGGAGAGGGCTGCTGGTCGCCGCCCGCGCTCGAGCGACGACCTAGGTGGTTGAGGGTCCGGACTCAAACTGCGTTATGCGGAAGCCGCCCTCAGGCGGCTGCTGCGGCCCGCTGGGCGAGTGCGGGCGGGGGGAGCGGCCACCTGGCGGGCGCGCTAGTCCCGCGAGCACCGGTCTCTGGGCAGTGGTTGTGCGGGCCGGGGCGATGGGTTTCGTGAGGTCCAAATTGCCTGCCATGCAGGTGGGCCCGCCCCTCCTGACTGTCCTAATTCCTCTGTCACACCTCCCGATACACACACACACTCAAACACACACACGCACACACACACACACTCAAACACACACGCGCGCGCACCCGCCAGGCCCTGAGGGAGCAGAAGGACGCGGTGGAGGACGACATCCAGGCCATTGCCACGGTGGGTGGGTGTGGGTGTGGGTGTGGGGGAGGGGGTTTGCAACTCGCCGGGCTGCATCGACAAAGAGCCGCGGGTGGTTGACGGGTGCCTTTTGCGCAAGAGGAGCCAATCACCGCCACCGATGGTGGCGTCCTCCTTCCCTCAGTCCCCTCACATCAACCCCATCCCGCCCTGTGCCCCCCCCCCAACACACACAAACACAACAACAAACACACACTTACATGTGTAAACCATGTGTAAACCAAAGTTCACACACACACACATGGCCTATGCGCAATCGCACGTGTGCGTCCACCGACTCACACACACACACACTCTCCCTCTTTTCCACAAACACACATGCGCGCGCGCACTCACACACACTCGAACACCCACAAGCTCTCACTCCACCAGCAACACAGGCCTGCTGGCGCATCCGCACCCACATGCAAACCCAAAAGCCCACACCCCATTCATCCCCACCCAACCCCTCCCCCCCTCCCAGGCTGTCGCCAAGGACCTGGGCCTGGTGCTGGACAAGACCATCAAGCTGGAGTGGCACAAGGCCGCCAACACGCGCACCCGCTGCCTGCGCATCACGCAGAAGGAGGAGAAGGCCGTGCGCAGCAGGCTGCAGGCAAAGTGAGGGGGGCGGCCAAGTGCTCAGCACACGCGTGTGTGAGCGCCGTGCATGGTTGCCCCCGCAAAAATGGGCTCCTCTTCTGCATGGAATCGTTGCAAGCATCTGGCCTGGCTCGCCAGCCCCAACCTTCAATCTCGCGGCACTTGATTGACTGCATTCTTGCCCACCGCGAGCGTGCCGCACCTGTGCATGCCTGCACAACCACCATGCACCCGTTGCCTCCTCCCGCCCTCAACCCCCCACGTGCGCAAGTGCAAACATGCATGCAACGCCCATCAAGTCGCAACCATCTTTCCGCCCACATACCACCTTGCCCGCGCCCTTGTCCCCCACCCCCCAACACGCCCCCTCACCGCGCGACGCGCTCCGTCCCCGCCACCCTGTCCCGCGGGTGCGGCAGGTACAAGCTGCTGGAGACCCGCAAGGACGGCACCAAGTTCACCAACAACGCACTGCGGGACGCCGCGGAGCGGCTGGGGGCGGCGGCCGGGAAGTATGAGGACCTGCAGAG